CCATAGCTAGCAACCCAAAACAGTCCAGTGGAGCCTGAGCGGTGGGTGTTGCCTTCTGACACACTTCCGGTGATGTCAGGGGGTGTGGCATATGCAAATGAGTTATGCAAATGAGTTATGCTAATGAGCTCCTGCACCTCTTTTTCTATGAAATGACCCCTGGTTACACGTGGAAAAGAAGCTCTTGAGAGATTTCACCAGGACTTTTAATAATTTATTCCCCAAGTCAACCTCAGTATGTGTCAAAGTTTTCTGAGCAAAATTCCACTTGTGGGATTGTTTTTCTCCGCCCTGTTCAGCTAACACCAGGAGTTAGCCGCCACCTCCCCTGCAACAGAGCATGTAAGAAAAGGGCCTGGAGAACTAAGCACTGAGGCAACCCTTCCTGCCCTCCTTCTCATGATCGGCCTGTTCACAGAATCAGCATCGCTGTCAGAGGGCCACCTAGCCTCTGTTTGAAAACCTCCAAAGGAGGAGAGCCCACCACCTCCCAAGGAAGCCTGTTCCACTGAGGAACCACTCTGTCAGAAAGTTCTTCCTGATGTTTAGCAGGAAACTCTTGAATTAATTTCAACCTGTTGGTCCTGGTCCGACCTTCTGGGGCAACAGGAAACAACTCCGCACCATCCCCCTCTTTCTCTCACTATGGTCCTTGCCCCCCCCCCTCTTCTTCCCCACAGCTCTGACATCATTGTTCCCACCATGGAGTATTGCTTCATCTCCCCCAAAGCCCCTTCTCAATTCCTTCTGCTCTCCAGCTCCCCTCCCCCCATTCTTCCATGCCTCCAACATAACTCTCCCCCTTAGCCCTCCAAACTTCCTCCTTTCAGTCATTTTTATTCTGTTTTATTCTTTCCTCTAGTCCTTTTTCCCACAGGCATCCACACAACTCTCTCAGGAACTTGCCCTGAGTGAGACATAATTGGGCATCTTAATGATCAAAGATTTTAATAATTGTCTGAGAAGGACTTGCCAAAGCAGATGCTTGAATTTTTTTTTTTTTAAACTGGGACCAGATTTTTAACACCAACTGCCTTTTAAAACCTCCTTTTTGTCTTCCCTTCAGTCTACCCATTTGTAAGTGACACTTTTTAGAACAACAGTCTCATTCTTTAATGGGAAATTGCTGCATCAGTCGGCGATCTGCGTATACAAAGACTCAGGTCCCAAAAGCTCCAGAGTTGGGGGTGCATGTGTGAATGGCCACATACGTGTATTTCCTCCCCCCCCCCAATCCCGGGGTTAGAGGACAGAAGAATCTCCATAGTGAAGGAATTCCATAGTTATGGCACCACAACCTTCCTTCAAGTTGCCAACATTCTAGACTCAGATGGCAGGAATACCCAAAGCAGAGTTCCCAAAGATGACTGTAGTGAGCAGGTAAGTTTCTATGGGAGTAGGTGGTTGGACATACATTAGCAAAATATATACTGCAGAACTCTACAAATAAATGTTTTCCAACCATGTTTTCAGAGCTACCTCATTAACCACTTCTATGTCACTGTGCTTTATTCACAGACAAGACCTTTCCCCAAGGCCGAGCATATCTATTGTTTTTCTCTAGTGTGAATAAGCACATGTCTCATAAGGTTTGAGTGCTGGCTGAAGCCATACCCACATTCCTGACACTTAAATGGCTTCTCCCCCGTGTGGATTAGTTGATGTCTAAGAAGGTTTGAGTTGTGACTGAAGCAACTTTTACACTCCAGGCATTGATATGGTTTCTTCTTGGTTTGAGGTCTCGGATTGTTTTGCATCTGACTGGAGCCCTTTTTACATTCCCCTGTCTGAATATTTTTATGTCTCCTAAGAGTGATGCTGTGACTGAAGCTTTTCCCACAATCCAGGCACTGAAAGGGTTTCACCTCTTTGTGGATTCTTTGGTGGTTCATAAGCCTTTCACTCAGACTAAAGCTCCTTCCACATTCCAGGCATTTATATGGTTTTTCCCCTTTGTGGAGTAGTTGGTGTTTGATGAAATTTGCATTTGTTGTGAACTTCTTTCCACATTCCAGACATTCATATAATTTCTCTCCCGTGTGAATTCTTCGATGGATAGCAAGGCTTGAGGTCTGACTAAAGGTCTTTCCACATTCTAGACAGTTGTATGGTTTTTCACCTGTGTGGGTACTCTGATGTTCAATGAGGTTTGTGCTAGCAATAAAGCTCTTCCCACATTCTAAACATTTGTATGGTTTTTCACTGGTGTGGCTTCTTTGATGGTAGCTGTGGCTGAAGGTATTTCCAGGCTTGTGGAAAAGATACGGTCGCTCCCTCGCATGGATTGTTTGGTGTCTAACAAGACGTGATCTTACAATAAACCTCTTTCCACACTCCAGACATATATAGGGTTTCTCTCCTGTGTGGGTTCCTTGATGCGCAGTAAGGTTAGATTTTGTACAAAACCTCTTTCCACATTCCAGACATTTATATGGTTTCTCTCCTGTGTGGATTCTTTGATGCACAATGAGGTACGCACTGTATGCAAACTTCTTTCCACATTCAAAACACTTATAACGTTTTTCTCCTGTGTGGGTTCTTTGATGCACCCGAAGAGCTGAGCTTTGGCTGAATCTCTTTCCACATTCCAAGCAGTCATATGGTTTCTCCCCTGTGTGGATATTCCAGTGTGCTTTAAGGTTTGGTATACTAGCAAAGGTTTTCCCACAGGTAGAACATTCAATCCTTCTCTTTCCTTCCTGTATGGCTCCATGGTAGTTACCACTGAGATAAGGAATGGATTTACTGCTTCTTTTATCCGGTTGGTTTCCATCCTCCTTTTTGGGGACATCGTGATTCTCAAAGTTCTCTTGCACTTCTAGAATCATTTCACTTCCCTCGCATACCTGACAAGTTTCGTTTTCACTATCTGTGTCCCACGTATCTCCTGCTGAAACAGAGAGCCGTGATATAAATTTAAAGAGAAACAGAAGATCAAACCAGGAAATGAGTCAAATGAAGCCATTCAAACTACCGTGGAGAATTATAGAATAGAGAATTATAGAATAGAGAATTATAGAATACAAAGAATGTGCCTGTCAGGGCACCCCTTCAAAATTTGGCACAGACAGGGCTTTTTTTTGTAGAAAAAGCCCAGCAGGAACTCATTAGCATAACAGGCCACACCCAACAGCAGAAACTCATTAGCATAGTAGGCCACACCCCTGACATCACAGCACATTAGCATATTAGGCCCCCCATGCCACCAGAAGTGTGGTCATCCAGCCACACCCACCTTTTGCTTCTTATTGTTTACCTTGTCAAAACTCAGGGCTTTTTTTTTGTAGCAGGAACTCCTTTGCATGTTAGGCCACACACCCCGAATGTAGCCAATCCTAATGAGTTTCTGCTGTTGGGTGCGCCCTATTATGCTAATGAGTTCCTGCCGGGCGTGGCCAACTCAGGAGCCAGCCGGAACTCTGTTCCTGTGCGTTCCTGCCCAAAAATAGCCCTGGCGCACGGATATGTTCCTGCCACCAGTGAGACAACTGCCCGAGTGATAGTGTCACTGTCTACAAACCCAAAAGAGAATACCAGCTACCCAAGATAGTCACTAATTAGAAACCCTTTCTCTGATGAAAAGATGGGAACAAGACGGCGTCGCCTCATGTGGGAGCAAAACAAGCTAGAGACTGTTCCATCGTGCTCTGCTCTGGAACACCCCAGCAAAACCTCTCAAACAACGGGCTGTTCATTGGTTTGTCTCTCTTTCACTCTGTTTGTCCCCCAGGTTAGAGCTCTATGTTAGGGATGATTAGGAAAGAGAATGAGAACAAAACGGCCGATATTATCAGGCCCCTGTATAGATCTATGCTGTTGCCTCATTTGGAAGAGCTGGAAAGGGGACAGAGGAAGGCAACCAAGATCATGAGGGCGTTGGAGCACCTTCCCTACGAGGAAAGGCTGAAGAGTCTGGGACTTTTCAGTTCAGAAAAGAGACGACTAAGAGGGGACATGAATGATAGAGGTTTATGAAGTTATGCATGGGGTGGAGAGAGCTGACAAAGAGAATGTCTTCTCCCTCTCCCCAATCACTAGAACTTGAGGGCATCCAATGAAGCTGACGGACAGTAGGGATTAAATGCATTCATGAAGGATCAGTCTATCAATGGCTACTAGCCGTTGTGACCAATGCTCCCTCTAAGCTGTGGAGTCTTGCGAGCAAAAATTCTGCTTTGTGAGCTACCGGCATTAAAGTTGTGAGCGAGCGACTTCGCTACCGCATAAAGTAGTTTGCTCTGGGGCCATCCCTTCCTGAGCGAAGACAAAAAATGTATGAGCCGGAGGCTAAAGAACTGTGAACTAGTTCACACTAACTCAGCTTAGAGGGAACATTGGTTGTGACTGAGGGGAACCTCCACATCCAGAGACACTAATCCTCTGAGCCCCGGAGTCAGGAGGCAACATCGGGGGAAGACCTGGGCTCTCTATGCCCTGGAGGTACTGGTTGGCCATCGTGTTGAGACGGGATGCTGGACTGGATGGACCACTCTTCTTGTGTTCTTATGTTCATTCGTTATTCTGAGGAGATCTGTGGGGATCCCACCCCCCAGATTTTCCTGCTATTGACAGAGCAGGAGCTACCAGCCCTGCACCAACATGCAGTCTTTGCCAGTTCAGATGAAGCTTCAAAAGTCTACATCCTTCCACATCCATCACATCAGAATTGACCACGGCTGCCCTTCTTCACCATTTCCCTCCCGCTCTGCCTGTCTCCAGAAGCTTCCACCCACTAATCATTAAGGCAGCCTTCCCCCCCCCCCCCACTCCTGCCTGCCTTCCAAAATCCTCTCATGTCGCTAAGAACCTGCCCGATCCCTCACAAGTCCTGAGCCACCAACACCATAACCAGTACCAACCCGTTTCCTGTCATTTTCCCACTGGCTGGAAGCGCTAGGAACATTGCAACGTCTACACTTTAAACGGTCCTTCCTTTGTGTGCTGCTAGTCTTTAAGGGACTGGGAGAGAAGTAGAGCCTTTGGTGAGTCAACCTTTTCAGCCTACTAAAGGCACTGCTTTCTAGCCCTAAAGTGCATTCATTTACCTCAGTGAAGGGGCGCTCTGGGTATGGAATGCTCTGATTTTCTTCATTCCACTATCAAGATTTATGGCCTGCACAACATACACTGTTCAACTGGCCCACAATTAGGATGCACATTAACTATGGTGACTGAGGGGAAGCTCCACATTCAGAGGCACTAAGCGTCTGAATCCCAGAGCCAGGAGGCAACATCAGGGGAAGGCCTCAGCCTCTATGCCCTGTTGTTCGCTGTCCAGAGGAACCGACTGGCCACTGTGTGAGACAGGATGCTGGAATAGATGGACCCCTGGTCTGATCCTGTGGGGCTCTTCTTATATTTTTATGTAATGGTTGGTCACTATGTGAGACGGGATGCTGGACTAGATGGAACATTGGTCTCATCCAGCAGGGCTCTTATGGGATTAGACAGATTCACAGAGGACAGCTTTATCAATGGCTACAAGCCATGATGTCTGAGGGGAAACTCCACATTCAGAGGCACTAATCCTCTGAATCCACAACCAGGAGGTAACATCAGGGGTTGGCCTCTGTGCCCTGTTGTTGGCCATCTAGAGGAACTGAAAGGCCACTCTGTGACACAGAATGCTGGACTACATGGACTATTGGTCTGGTCCAGCAGGGCTCTTCTTAGGTTCTTATGAAGGCCTCAGCCTCAATGTCCTGTTGCTGGCCGTCCAGAGGAACTGGTTGGCCCCTGTGTGAGACAGGAGGCTGGACTAGATGGACTATTGGTCTGATCTAGCAGGGCTCTTCTTTATGTTCTGCTGTGGTTTATCTTTCTTCACCGCTATATGACCATCTTCCCATCTTGAAAAACACTCACTCTCTTCAGCTGTACTTTGGAAGAACATATCCTCGGGCAATCTTCCCGGAGAAGCCTCGAGCATTTCTTCTGGCTCAGAGCCTTCCTGTAGGAAGTCCTCCTCTTTGATTTCTGTCATGGTCCTTTCGTCTGTGGGAGGCAGAGAAGACTGTAAGAATTCCCAAAACCTCAGCCCCAGGTTCCACAAAGGCAGGAGATGCCAAAGAGGAAAAGAATGAAGGGAGACCACAGGGGAGCAAAGAACACAGAGACAATATCAGCGCTGAGAACCCCCATCACACTTCCTCACACACCACACTATACCACAGGCATAAATGTCTTTAAAAGGGGATTAGACAGATTCATGGGGGATTAGGTCTATCAGTGGCTACTAGCCATGGTGGCTCATTTGCATATTAAGCGACACACCCCTAATGTAGCCAATCCTCCAAGAGCTTACAGTAGCTCCTGTAAGAAGAGCTCTGTAAGCTCTTGGAGGATTGGCTATGTTAGGAGGGTGTGGCCTAATATGCAAAGGAGTTCCTGCTACAAAAAGGGCCCTAAAGGGAACCTCCATGTTCAGAGGCACAGAGCCTCTGAATCCCAGAGTCAGGAGGCAACACCAGGGGAAGGCCTGAGACTCTATGCCCTGTTGGACCTCCACCAGGGGTGGCCAAACTGTGGCTTGGGAGCCACATGCGGCTCTTTCACACATATTGTGCGGCTCCCGGCAGGGCAGCTGAGGAAGCGAAGGGGAGGGCATGCTTTTCCTCCCTCCCTCCCCCTTCCCTTCTATTTGCTTCCTTTGTTTCTCTCTCTCTTTCTCTCCACCTCTTTCGTTCTTTCTTTCCATTTCTCTCTCTCTTTTTCTTTCTGTCTTCTACAAATAAATATCATTGGACAAATAAATATCATTAATATCTGTTTTTACCCCTTTTTTGGTTTTTTTGGCAGTCTGATTTAATGTTAGGAAAAAGCAAATTTGCATATTTTAAAATGAAAATGTGTGTGTCAATGTCTTGCGGCTCTCAAACATCTGATGTTTATTCTTTGTGGCTCTTACAGTGAGCAAGTATGGTGACATACCCCCCATGGTATGCCGCCATACTTAAAAGCTGAACACAAGACTTACAAAAGTTAAATAAAGACATAGCTAATAATGAATAAACCTTTGTTGGTCTTAAAGGTGCCACTGGACTCTAAATTTGTTCTTCTGCTTCAGGCCAACACAGCCCGACTACCCGGATCTAAATACAAAGCTAATCATCTCATTCTAGACCTTCCAAGCTGCCAGAGATCCAGCGGAGAGCATTATGTGGGTGGGGTGCAGTGTTCCCTCTAAGCTGAGTTGGTGTGAGCTAGCTCACAGTTTTTTAGCCTCCGGCTCACACATTTTTATCTTCGCTCAGGAAGGATGGCTCCAGAGCAGACTAATTTATGCAGTATCCAAATGGCTCGCTCACAACTTTAATGGCAGTAGCTCACAAAGTAGAATTTTTGCTCACAAGACTCCACAGCTTAGAGGGAACATTGGGGTGCACTGTGATGCACTTTGCAACTGAATTTTACCATGTGAAATGGCAAAATCCACTTGCAAGCGGTCGCTGAAGTGGATTGAAACTGCGTTATTTATTTATTAATTATTTTATTTATTTAATTTCATGTATACCCCGCCCTCCCCGCACGCGGGCTCAGGGCGGCTTACAGTATACGGGTTAGCAAGTATACGGGTTAGCAAGTATCATATGTTGTCATCTGCTTAGTGATAGACTGAAAAGGGTTTTTTCTTTAACCTACCTGTAATTTGCCTTGGGGCCCAGGGAGACAGGTGGACTATATAC